TCTAAATTTGAGATTTAATGCGTTGGCTTGGTAACATGATCGCTAAAAACAATATGTGCTGCTAGTGTTAAGTTGTAAGTAGCAGACTGTACATGTATGAGATGTAAGGAATGGGAGGCGGGGCTAGATCTGTGTTTCCTTCTTCATGGTGTGGAGTGATGAGCGCGGGAGCGCATGTGGGAAACTGTTAATGGCGACCATTAAAGTGTGGATATTAACGTCAACAGTGTGATTATTGAGCCAACACTATTCCTTTAAGGTCTCCTTAACCCTTTAAAGCCCGATCCAAGAATAAAACAAAACAGAAAGTTATTTTTTTTTTGGTTTGAATTCCTTATTTTCCCTTTTAACAAAATATGTAAAAAGAAAAAACAGAAATACATTTTTGATATTAATAATTTATTACTATGCGATAAGTCAAGATAATTTTTTGTTTAGTTTTCTACTGGCTGTTATCAGGTATATCTGATTGTGTACAATAGGATTTTGAGCAAAGTTTTTACCATTAAATTATGCAAAAGGTGTCAGATGGAAAACATTTCAGAAACCGTATGTATCAAATACGATACATTTGGCATTATACGTTTAAAATAAAGGTTTTGAAAAATTCAAAAACCACACCTTAAAAATCAGAAAGTTCCAGAAAAAAAACGTCTGTAATTAATGATTTCTTGTGCTTCTCTTACTTTCAGAGCTATGTTTACTGGAGGCATGAAGGAGTCAAACCAGGACACCATTGAGCTGAAGGGTTTGTCCGCCCGAGGGCTGAAACATATCATCGACTTTGCCTACAGCTCAGATGTAACTTTAGACCTGGACTGTATTCAGGACGTCCTGGGTGCTGCCGTGTTTCTCCAGATGGTTCCGGTAGTAGAGCTGTGTGAGGAGTTCCTTAAGTCTGCGATGAGCGTGGAGACCTGCCTACACATTGGGCAGATGGCCACCACCTTCAGCCTGTCTTCCCTCAGAGAGTCCGTGGATGCCTTCACCTTTCGTCACTTCCTCCAGATTGCCAAGGAGGATGACTTCCTGCACATTCCCATGGAGCGCCTCGTCTTTTTCCTGCAGAGCAACAAGCTGGAAAACTGCAAAGAGATCGACCTCTTCCACGCTGCCATCAGGTGGCTCCGGCATGACGAGTCCCGCCGAGCTCAGGCCAGCAGCGTCCTCTGCCATGTTCGCTTTCCGCTCATGCTCTCCTCGGAACTGGTAGACAGCGTTCAGACGGTGGATATCATGGTGGAGGACGTTTTATGTCGGCAGTATCTCCTTGAGGCCTTCAACTATCAGATTCTTCCCTTCCGACAGCACGAGATGCAGTCCTCGCGGACACGCATTCGCTGTGACGTATTTTCCCTTATCACCTTCGGGGGGACTCCGTACACCGACAACGACCGCACAGTGAGCACCAAGGCTTACTACCTTCCGGACGCTGCCTCCCGCCAGTTCAAAGAGCTTACAGAGATGGAGACGGGATGCAGCCACTCTTGCGTCGCCGTGCTTGACAACTTTGTGTATGTCGTGGGCGGGCAGCACTTGCAGTACCGCAGCGGAGAGGGCGCAGTGGACAACTGTTTCCGCTACGACCCACATCTCAATCAGTGGCTACGCATCCAGTCCATGCAGGAGGCTCGCATCCAGTTCCAGCTCAGCGTCCTGCAGGGACAACTGTACGCCACCGGAGGACGTAATCGATCCGGGAGTCTGTCTTCCGTGGAGTGTTACTGCCCGAAAAAGAACGAGTGGTCTTACGTGGAACCGTTAAAACGGAAGATTTGGGGCCACGCTGGGACCTCGTGTAGAGAGAAGCTGTACATCTCTGGCGGTTACGGCGTCTCTTTGGATGACAAGAAAACACTCTTTTGCTACGATCCAGTGTCAGACCAATGGGACTTTAAAGCCCCCATGCATGAGCCCAGAGTGTTGCACGCCATGATCGGCACCCAACATCGTGTTTACGCTCTGGGTGGCCGCATGGACCATGTGGACCGCTGTTTCGACGTGCTGGCAGTGGAGTATTACAATCCGGAGAGCAACCAGTGGACCACCGTCAGTCCTATGAGAGCGGGACAGTCCGAGGCGGGCTGCTGCCTGCTGGACACAAAGATCTACATCATAGGGGGCTATAACTGGCACCTTAATAACGTCACAAGCATCGTTCAGGTGTACAACACAGAGACGGATGAATGGGAAAGAGATCTGCACTTTCCTGAATCATTCGCTGGTATCGCCTGTGCGCCGATTATCCTCCCTCAGAACACCCCCCAACACTAAGCTCCTGATCGCAACTGTGAAGAAGATTGTTCCTCATGCTCCTCCTACCGCCTGGGAATTTAAGTGAAGGTTTGGACATCTTTTTTTTGTTTTTTTGTCTTCCTTTAACACAAATGTTTTAAACCGTTTTTTTTTTCATATGAGCGTCAAAGTTCATGGTTATGTTTGCTGATAATCAAGTTTTATTCTATAGTTTCTAAATCTGAAGAATTATGATAAGAATCCTTGAAGAATAATCCAGTTATGAATATTGCTGAGTTTTTACAGCACAGTTCTATAAAAGTGTAAAATTTGATTGCTATATTTTACAGAAATTAAGGATAATAAAGATTATGATCAAATCTATCTTTTTAAAGCCTTTACTCTTTATTCCTTTTTCAAAATGTTTTTTGTCCTTTAATCTATCCTTTGTTCCTTCCCTTTGTCCTTCCTCCCTTCCATAGTTTTTCCTCATCCCTTCTTTCCTGTCCCTCTCTCTTCAATTTGTTTCCTACAATTGTTCCTTGTGTCTTTCCTTGACTCCTTACTTGGGTGCTGCTTCTCTGCTGTTTCTTTCTGCTCCCCCTTTTGTTCTGGATGCATTCATCTCAGCATTTCCTCCATGGTCGTTCCCTTTTTATTTTTCCCTCCCTTTCTTGAATCCTTCCTTCCCCTCTTTCCTTGAATCCTTCCTTCCTTCTGTAGAAATCTCTGCTATAGTTATGGTGAGTGTTTGGATTTACATCTTAAAATGGCAACAAAACAGAAAAGTCAGGGATTTGAATATGAAACAAGTGTAGAAACCTGGTTTGTTGACTGCTTGTCATTTGTAGAAGCATTATCACAGGCCAGCTAAATGGCATGGTATTCTCTAAAAGATAGCAGCTTTTGGTATGAAAATATAACTACATTTTAATAGTGATCAAGTACCAATCAAGGGCTTAAGTTACAAAAAGCACAAATAAATGATTCATCATTTAATCAAATTAGACATTCCTTACTGAATCGGCATTTAAAACGTATGGTTTTATATTGTAGCAAAGTATTATTTTTTTTTTTTACATTTAATTCATCTCTTAATCTGTTGCAGTTGAACTTTTCTAATTACATATCAGCAAATGATACCTGCACTATTATAAGTATTGGGTTTCCTAGTTTTGACTATGTTCTAATCTGTTTTCTAAACTCAAATAGTTTTCTGATGTTGAATTTGTTTTTTCTTAGTTATAGTCTCAACTGCAGACCTCTTACGGCAGCTACATGCATCATTTTTGTGTGTAATACAGTGTAGTCTGGATCTTTTTTCTATTCTAAAGCTATATGTTTAATATCTACAAGTTCTGAGTTTCCTATATTTGTTTTTTTTTTTTTTTTGGTGCAGCCCTTGCAACAATAAAGCTATATTTAAACAAGACTCTATTGAGAGGATAAATGTATTTGTTTAACAGTGAGTTAACCTCTTGTTTTGCCTTTTGAATTAGAACACCTTCATGTTAGTGAAGGGATGTTTTTAAAAACTCGTCTCCTGTCTGCCTGCCTTCATGTGTGTCTTGTTCTACCTGTACCAATCAAAGCACATTATAATGTCAAAGTGCAATTCAGTGAAAACTGATGTACTCTAAGGGGAATGTACACGTTTATGTGGCTTTATGTCAATCTTTATTAAAGGTGCATCGTTTTAAAAATGGAACCTTGCCTGTTGTTGTTTCATGAATGATTTCCTCCAGTTCACCTGGGTTTGAAGAAAACGTCTATCCATTATTTTTGGACAAATTTGTGAGTTCTGATCTTGGGGTACCTTCCTTCATGCTGCCATTTTGAAGTGTGTCGCCAACAGTTGTCCTGTTAAATTCTCCTAGCTTTGTTATCAAAAAGCCATTTGATGTCTATGTTTCTGTAATCCATGTCTTCACTAACAAATCCCTGAAGCACTAACACAGCGGCTGGATCCATACTGTGATTAAATTACAACGTATTGAGGCACCTTCGATCAGGAATTGGTTGCGCTAAATTTGATTTAGGGTCATTTGAATAAAGGTAACTGCATTAATATTTCTGAAAGATTTTTTCCCTCCACTTTAATTTGTAAACATTCAAAGAAAATGCATTATGTTCCTAATGATATGCAACATTTTATTAGTCTATCACAATTCCAATACTTAACTGCAGCCTGATGAAATGTTTATTTCTAGATTTCATTTATCGAGCAAATGGTCAGTTTGCACCAGGTCAATTTTCTGGGATCTGATTGTATTTCTTTAAGTATCCATATTTATGTTTTTCCTTATGTTACTATTAATAACAAACATCTAGGGCACACAATTCCCCCTGTGGTGAGTCTTATTTTAACTCAAACTCGGCCTGCCTCCCAGACTATGCAGAGAGCGGCACCATCAATAAGCGCGTCCTCCGTGCGTCGTGACGTCAGCACAAGGCCCCGGCGTCGTGCGTAGCGTAACATTCCATTGAGAAGAAGAGGGAAAGATGGCGTCCTCTAACAATCCGCGCAAATTTAGCGAAAAAATCGCTTTGCATAATCAGAAGCAAGCGGAGGAGACCGCCGCGTTTGAAGAAGTGATGAAGGACCTGAACATCACCAGAGCCGCGCGGGTAAGACCCCCCCACCCCTACCCCCCCTCACACAAACAGACCGGCTGCTCCCAGTTTGTTGCATCGCTGTTTTTTGGCAGTTAACGTTCACTGCGGTGATATTTTTGACAGACTGCTCTCTGTTTGGGTAAGCTCCACGCTTTCGTTCTTAGCCGAAACATTCAGCTGTAGTTGACATTCACTTCCATGTCTGTTGACACATGCTATATTTTTCTTTCCCATCGATAAAACATTCCCGTGAAGTGCACCGTTATTTTTGCTCAGCTAGCACCCGCGCTGTAGTGTGCACCTGTTCCATAGGGTTTATGTTGTGAGACGTCCATAAATAAAAATGGGTCGTTAGCTTTCATGCGTACATATCGCCGCATCATAACATGTTAAGGTTGTTGGCAGGGAAATTAAACTGGAGGAAACGCGAGTGGGATCTCTGACAGGGCTAAAGCATCCCCTGTTAACCAATCAGAGTCAATGGACGTGGATTCCCTCCCGCCCCCACCTCAGCTGTCTCCACCGTGGCACGTTTATTCCAAACAAACAAAGTTTAAGGCACAATAAACCAAGGGTGTAGCTTTGCCATGAAAGTTGGTGGGGGCAGGTTTTTGTATTTTCCAAAAATGAGCTCAAACATATATTTATTTAATCCTTTCCGATTGTTGAGAACAAAAGAGAACCAAAATACACTGCTATATAGTTAGATATATGCATTAAATATATATATATATATATATAGCCCAAAAACATTAATGTATAAAAGAATAATGAATAACAGCCGATTCCGATGCCAAAATCTATATATCATGCATCACTAGAAGTACAATTTCAATTCCATCCATCCAGAAAAAATGGATATGCTGCATTTTTAAACAATGGCATAACGATACAAAAATAGGCTTGTAAGCAATATTATCTGGATGGCCCCCATGAAGTGCAACACATTAAAAAAGGTACAAGACAATGGCGTAAATTTTGGTAAGCAGAGACTTCGGTTGCTCAGGGGCCCCCGACCTCTTTGGTGCCCCTTCACTGACACCTAGTAGGCCCCCTTCGCAACTGTGGACTAGGATGTCTCTTTGCAGATGTAATGGTGCGTAAAATTCCTCTAAAACCCACCTGATACTAGTTTTACTGACCGGACCTTATTTATACCGCAAAAATGCCAGATTTCAACATGATGGTGAGGAGTTTAAACACGACACCAATAGCGTAGATTATAACCACAACCGCTACGTACGATGTGTTAGCGACGATGGATACCAAAAAGAGGTACTTAAGTGCATTTCAGAAAAGAAAAAGGAAAAGAGCTGCTGTAGGAACAGAAAAATCTTCCCAAAATTAACACGTTCTTTCAAAGAACCAAAGTGGGAATGGTGGACGTTGCGTGAAATTCAAGGTAGCGCGATAACACTTATTTTACAGCAGAATATACTAAAGTATATCCTTGTCTAGTGAAGTTGAAGAATGATGAAGTGTGTATGTATGGGGCACGTTTTGGGTCGGTTGTCTACAGCGGAGGGGGGTGGGTGGGATGTGGTGGTGTACTTCATACCCAGATAATGTTTCTTGCTTTTATTGTGGTGTCGTTTCGCCATTGGTTCAGGATACGTCGACAGTTCCAAATATCGGCCAAGAAGATAAAATTCTGTAATTCTCAGAAGTATATGATCACACATCACACATTGAAAAATTGAACCATTGGTGACAGTGCACCACCACATGTTACAGACATCCCAAGTTCCAAAAACTCATTTTAGGGAGATGCTTATCGACCCCCCCGCCGTAGACAACCAGCTCCAAACGTGCCCCATACATAAACACACCCCGCACTTTCTTGTTGTTCCTGCGCAATCGCAGTAGTTCTAATCTACACATGATGCATGAATTATTGCACTGCCTGCACGCTCTAACTCGTATTAAAAAAAACACCACCTTGCATAGTCTTCACAGCCCCCCCTCCTCACCCACGCTCTCACCATTCAACTCCTAGTCGCAATCTTTACTCACTGTAGCAGCAATGTCCGCCTCTCCCTCTTCGGTTCTTTGAAAGAACATGTTTATTTTGGGAAGTTTTTTTTCTGTTCTTCCAGCTGCTCTTCTTTCCCTTTTCTTTTCTGGAATCTTCTTAACTACCTTTTTTTGGTATCCGTCGTCAATAACACATTGTACGTAAGGGTTATGGTTTTAATCTACGCTCTGGGTTACCCATAATTCCAAGTCGTTGTGTAAAAACTAAAATACTCAAATAAATCGTTCTTTTAAGATCTTTATTGCGGTTTGAAACATATTATATGAATGTATTTTTTACCTACCGTCTAATGAACTATACACAGTTATTTACATAGTAATTAAAAGTACTAGTGTCTGCTTTGCTATTGGTGTCATGTTTAAACGGCTCACCATCATGTTGAAATCTGGAATGTGTTGCGGTATAAATACGGTCCGGTGCGGTCAATCACTTCAGTATCAGGTGGGTTTAAGAGGAAATTTTTGCACCATTACATCTGCAAAGAGACGTCCGAGTCTAGAATTGCACAGGGGGCCTACCAGGTGTCAGTGATGGGGCCCCTAAGAGCACACCATTGACTACAATAGTTATTTCAGACTGGCTCAAATCCTGCAACGGATCGCATTAGAATACGTTTCAGATGATAATTGAATATAAGTCCCATGCACGTGTCATCGTTTATGTGAGTGTTTCTCAGCCTTCCTCCACCGTGGCCGCGTGGTCCCGCAATTTGTAGGTATTTAATTCGGCTGCCACACACCTGACATAAAAGCATGGATGATCTACTTCCCTCCTTATTGCATGTTCAGGAGCCAATCTAATCAATCCAGTCAGGTGTACTGGAGCAGAGACACATCCTAAACATGGACAGCACACCCCCCTGTGCACAAAACATGGAACATTTCTAATCTATACACATAAATCAGTAAAAGTTTGTGAATATCTTTTTAAAATAACTGCTGTAACTCGTTGAACATCTTGGATTTCAGATTTAAAAAAGTGCATTTCAGTGCCCATTCTGTGCTTTGTTTTCCCTTAAAATCAACAGGTCTGGTGCTAAAATAAAAAAAGATTCAAAGCCCTTAAGTCTGGGTTTTTCCTGAAGGCTTGATATGAATCGTTTTAATTGTATTACAGATCTAATTTTGTAACAGTGTTTGAGAATGTGTTCTTATTCATATTGCATTTGTTCTTGTTTTCACGATTGTTAGTGTACACGTCCTATGAAATACTTGATGTTTAGCTAATTGGCTGTCTGAAAAAGTCAGATAAAGGGCAATAAATCTTTATTGATGCATGGTGGAAAGCTGCCAAGTCTTTTATTTTTTTTATTCATTTTAAAACTAATACCCTTCTCAAAAAACTCCAGGTGTGTTTTTTTCTATTTATTTTTAGTTGCTGTGCTTAATTGTTACTCTAAAGGAAAGGTTATCCAATTGAGTGTGTATGTAGGTCCCTGTGGTGGGGGGGGGCAGCATAATTATTGGAATTAGAACAGAAAGGTCAGGCCATAATGTAAACCAGACCTTGGAGTTGCCAGTAAAGAATTAAGTCTATTAAGAGATGAAATTAAGTCAATCTATAATAGAATAGAATTGTTAAAATAATGCTAAGCTGTAGGAGGTTTTTGATTTTTAACATTTGCAATTAATACCCCCCCTTAGAATAATAAAAAAAGAAATCTTAAACAGAGGCAGCATAAAAACATTAATGTAAACTGCGCTGACTTCCTTTCATACTACTCCCTTCCTCTGTAGTTACTATTAGCCAGAGGATGTCTTAGAAATGAAGATCATCTGACAGACACAAAAAGTCCTTTTTATCAGAGTAGGAAGGCAGAAGCGCAGGCAGAAAGGGCCGAGGACATCCAGCATGAGCAGCAGCTGCTTTGTTTCTCTCTTCCCCGAATGATGAGTTAATCATCCAGGAAGCTCCACCACCATATATTAGATGAATAAATTGACTCATTTTTTCAAGCCACAGAGATGTCAGGAAGTGTTTGGGATATTTTTCTATTTGCTGGAAATGAAGCACATCTATTATGATATGTGTGTCTAACCCTAAGCTATATACGATATTTACAAGGGGGAAAAAAATCCTCTTCAGTTTATGGTCTGATTCCCTTGTGTTGCCATTCAGATTTTATTTTACTGTATTACGTCTGATCATCTGACTCAGTTTCTCTGGGTGTATGAGGTGTCAGTGTTTTGTCGAATTTTTATTGTTTTTGTAATAGCACACATGATTCTTTTTTTATTACTGTTATATGCAAGTGGAAAATATACAACTGATAACATGCTCTGTCAGTCTGGTGTCAATCAAATCAGCTAGTTTTGTTGTGAGCTCATCGGGTCTGCTCGTCGGTTGTTTATGAAAAAGCCATATTTTGCCTGTTTCATCTTGTTACACATTTCATTAAAAAAATCCTCCGACCTCATTAATCTTGCATATAATCACAGTAGACCTGCATGTGTCGTCCATTTTTAGCATCTCTTTTTGTTTGTGAATCAGATCAGTCATTCACTCATGCTTTCATGCAATTTTACTTTGCACAGTTGCAGTTACAGAAGACCCAGTATTTGCAACTAGGGCAGAATCGTGGACAGTACTATGGAGGCTCACTGCCCAATGTCAATCAGATTGGGAATGGCAACATTGACCTGCCTTTTCAGGTGAGCCTTTAGCCTCTCTCAGCAATGGTTTTCTTCTAGATCAGTGTACCTTTCTCAGCTGTTGGTGAATGTTGGACACATACAGGTTTTAGCTGTTTGTTTCAGATTTGTTGAAAAAATTATTTCTGTACAGATGATCTCTTTTAAAGAGAAGAAAAGAGTCTGCTGGCTTTTCTCTGGCTGCGACAGCTGTGAGATTGTTGGTTAGAGCTGCATCCTCCACCAGGTTTCATCATACCTCAAGTTGAAGGAGAAGAGCTTTTCTACAAGTTTTTCTTTTTTTTTTTATTTCTGTCCCAGTATAGAGAATTGGCTATTAAAATTTAAAGTATACCATTGCTTGTCATGGCTTCCCATCTTTAATTACATTTGCCAACTTGGCTTAACCCATCTTGAAGTGAACATTTTTAGAACCATTTATTCCAAGGCAAGGATTAACTCTGTTCATAGTTACTCTTCTCACCTCATTTAACTCGTATGTCCACCTTAGAACTCTGTGCTGGACACCAGTCGGACAAGCAGGCACCATGGACTTGTGGACCGTGTATACCGAGATCGAAACCGCATCTCATCTCCTCACCGTCGCCCGCTGTCAGTCGATAAACACAGTCGACAAATATCCTTTTTGCTATACTGTCTAATGTGGTGATCTGATCACCTTTTGCTGGCACATCCTTTGTCTGCTTTTTAGCCCATCTCATTTACTAGTTCAATTCAGTTTATTCATATGCTGCCAATTCCCGAAACATGTCATCTCAAGGCTCATTACAGAAATAATTCAATCAGATCATGCAGTCAGGTTGGTTATTATGTCTACAGAAAACTGGCTGATTGCATCGAGTCATTTACATTGCAGGATATGCTCCTTCTGGTTGGGCATGTGGCTACAGTAGATATTTGCTTGCCTTGTGTTGTTGACTCTATAGCAATTCCTCACATCAAGCGTAAAAACTCCATTTAAACAGTAAGAAACCTCCAGAAGAAGAAGATTCTGTATTAGGCATAATCAAGGATCTATAAGCAGACATACAAGAGGAACATAGAAGCAATGATCCATAAATAATTTCTATGTTATAAAAGGTAACCGTAAACTAGCTCCATAAGTGGCTCTCTGTGGAAAGGAAACCAGTAGGGAGACTAGCTCTGAACCAGTTTTCATGTCAAAGGGATGAAAGAGAGCACATACAGTTCATCTAGGTGAAAGCAGAGCCCATAGCTATGTCAATTGGAGAAACAGGACTGAGCACTGAAAAACAGGCCCAACTCTATCACCTGTAACTTAAGCCCAGCTGATATTTCCCTCTAGGATGGTGTCAAAGCCAAACAGGAACAGACCAAATTAAGCTGCTATGAATAGAAAATCAGAGAGAGTAGGTGTTGAACAAAAAATTCTGCAGCGTGGGTGAATAGAGATAGAATGATGAAAAGGGGTCCCTATGTCCTCCAGCAGTCTAAGCCTATAACAGCATTACTATAGAGATGGCACTGGATAACCTGAGCCAGTCAAACTATAAGCTTTATCAAAAGGAAAGTTTTAAGCCTAGCCTTAAAAGAACACAGGATATCTACCTCACTGACTAACACTGGTTTTGGCTCCACAGCAGAGGACACCGATAATTAGAAGATCTGCCTCCCATTTTACTATTAATTGAATTCAGTTTTTTTATATAGAGCCAATTCACAAAACGTCATCTCAAGGCACTTTATCAGATCATACAGTCCCTAAAAATTCAAGAGAAATTTTGATCTTCAGTGTTTGATCCCTTCCAAGTGAGGTCACTGATTAATCTGCTTCTTTTTCTGCTTCATTTAACATGTTTTGGTAGGTCTACTATCCCTCAAAGGTACACCTGAAAAAAATTAAATATAAACATGTCCATTTGGTTTAATAATTCTATCCAAAAAGTGTAATTCAAGTGAGATGTATTACATGAAGTTTAATATATTGTAATCCTTCACTTTTGGTTTTTCTTTAACATGGTTTAGAGTTGACAAGAGCCAAAAATGATTTTCTCAGAAATTGAGACCAATTTATATGAGCCCAATAATTAAATACAGAAATGTTGTCACGATTTGACAGTTTTCTAGCAAGCAGCCAATGACCTCCTCCACAAGGAGGATATGCCAAAAAGCGCTGTGCCACTGGATTTTCAGAGTGATTTATCCAAGCATATTACTGGAAAGACCCCAGAATCTGGAGAAAAAGTTAAGAGGCATATAATCCAGATTGCTTGAGGACAGCAACTTCTCAGACCAGCCTTTTCGTTTTTTTGATGCATGTCTGTTTATCAACTAAAATTTGACATCACAGAGTATGGTTTCAAATTGACCCCCATTAAATATTTTGTCTCTAATTCACCTCTGGAAGAAGTAGTACACCTGTAATATTTGTGAAATCTTGATTTCAAGTGTGACATAATGCAAAGCAAAGACAGCAGGAGCATCTGTTCAGTATAGAGACTTGTTGATCTACAAAATATATGGTTCAGTGATTCGGCTTGAGGTAATAGATGAGGATTGTTGCTTTTGCATTAGGATTTTAACAAAACATTGCTTTGGAAATACCTCCCAAAAAAAATCCTCCTTAGAGTTTCAAGGTTTAGGCCGCACATCTTCAATCCAGCAGCCAGGGCTTCCTCTGCACCTGAGCGTTGTTACAGGCTGAAGTTCTTCCATGCCATGCAGCATTGATGCATAGGGAGCCCTGGTTCTAGAGGGCGACATTTCTGTATTTAAAAAGCACTTTAATATGATGATATGAAGGTCATTGATGAAATAATTTTTTTTCCTTTATAGATGCGCTGACAACCATCTGTCAAATTGAGAATACCAATGCAGCATGTTGGTATGCGGCCCATAACCGAGTTCTCCTCACAAATAGTTTCCACTGTTAGTTTAGAAATAGGATCTCCTCATAGGACTTGTTATGGATCTTGTTTTATGCCTGTTAACACAAAGGGATGAAGTAAAGCTTATGTGTGACTAAGTCTTTTTTTACTTCTCATAATTATTAACCTTGACTAGATTTACATTGACAGCTGTCCCTACAGTTCAGTTTACCTTTCCCCACCGCCAGACACAAGCTGGAGAAGGTAAGCCTCCTTGCTTGTGTATTTGTGAAAAATATCCCATCAGAAGGTGTTCTCTTTCAAATAATAATTCAGAGATTTCTAAGGCTTTTTAGTCAGTACAAATATTCCTACTTGTCACTGCAAAGGCTCTTCGATCGAGCAAATACAGTAGTGGGAATAGAAGTTGGCCCTCTTTGGCTGGGACTCTGCTTATTTATTTTTTTATTTTTTACACATTAAGGACGAATTCGGACTCTGCCTTACACCAGAGCGCCATGAATCCGAAGCCCCAGGAAGTGTTTTCAGGAGGATCACAGGAGCTGCAGCCCAAACGAGGTGAGGGAGGATCCGGTGTCAAAGACACAGAGAGGCTTTCATTTATTCATGTGCAACGTGCTATCCAAGCTGCAAACCTCAGAAGACACAAAAGACTTTGTGTCAGAGAGAGGCAGGTCTATCCTCATAGTGAAATATTTATAGTGGAAATGCTGAACTTCAGAGGTGATTTTGTTTGGAGGTCTTCTACTCGGCTGGCTTGTTGAAATTTCTGAATGAAGTTGATTCAGGACAGCCTACAGAGCTAAATCAATCATTCACTGATTCTTTATTGATTATTTCTTTTTATCTGTAAAGCTCAGATACAGTGAAGCCAATATTAGCTGGCCTCATTCAGCGTCTGGTGGTCACCTTTGCTATTTTTAGAAATGTGGGAATCTGGTGCACCGCAGTGCTATTTTCTGCATGATGGCTGCAGATATTGATGAATATTATCCTTCAGTATTGCTTTCTCAGTTTGGATATTGTCAAAATAAAACCAATATGTCGTGGCTTGTTTGATAGTGCTGCTGCTCACTGTGCCTGGGACGGAAAATTCAGAGTCGGATGCAGACAAGGATGCACAGGAACAGCTGTGGGATGAGAAGAAGGTATCAGTGGGACAGAGGCGGGCTGCACAGTGTACTCGGGTGATGCATAAATCATGGCTCATTTTAACCTTTTTTTTCTCTTTTGCTTTGTTTTTTTTTTTTTTGCATTAGGATGATGCATCGCAGCCTAATGCCTGTGATGTCCCTGGGATCAAGTGAGTATTATTGGAAGTGAAAGGCTGGTAAAAGAGTCCATCAGTTAATGCAAAAGTTACAAAAATGCAGGAGAAGTATACTTAATTTAATATATACCTTTTAATAATAAATTCCCAGTATAATACTATAACGTTTGTTTGTACTGAGCTGCATTCTTTTTTTTGTGGAAAAAGTCTGCAGTTAGGGCTACAGCTAATGATTTCTTTCAATTTATCAGTTAATGATAATTTTGATTAGTTAATAATGGTAAGTACAAAGTGCTTTATTAGAGATTTTCTTTTTTTTTTTTTCACAGAGCTAGAGCAAGGGAAATCTAACACTATGCCTGTGAAGGTTTTTAACCATATATAAATTTTAGCCTTTGACATTTCTAATTATTATGTTTATTGTGCAGTAGTTTATTTGCTGCACTTTATTTCCACATAACTCATGTTTTAAAGCGGAGGTCTTCAACAGGGGGTCCGCAACCCCTACGGGGTCAACGGAGGTGCTGCATGGGGGTCGCGAAAGTTTTGGTTGATAAGACTGTTTTTTTTTAGATTCCCCATGCACTTTTTTGCACTAATTGAAATGTCTTTAAATACACGTTAACATGATTTCAACACACTGTAGTAAACAGATAATTGGAGGCAGATGTCTTCCAGTCATCAATGCACACATTCAGCGACACACAGGAGCTCTTTAAAGCTGGGCACCATTTCATTCACAACACCTGTCCCATCAACCAGGAATCAGAAATACTTTAATAATCTCAGGGTGAAATTACTTTTGTTACATTACTTCATCTTTAATAGAGTGACTATAGGACCAGTTTGATATAACACAATTTCAGATAATGTATATATATATATATATATTAAAGGGATATATAATTAGGGAGTCCCCGCTCCATCTCGCCATCAGTTTGGGGTTCTTTGGCCTTGTTGGACAACACTTTTCGAAATATAAGGATTGTATATCTAAGCATGTAATTTATATTTCCAAATAGATTGTGTTTCTAGAGGGGTTCAGTAAAAAGAAATCTGGCATAGATGCAATTTAGAATTTGATTCATGCAAGTTATATTAACATTTCAGTGGTTGTTTAATATTTTAGATTTATTTTCATTTTTCCCCGTCTAATGTTTCCTACAGACTTAAGTGAAAAAATTGGGGAAGAAATCCAATCCTCAAAAATCTGAAGATTAGATTTTTGATATGGCTGATGTTAAATGCATGCATGTAATTTGTTAATATCAGAACAAGGTCATAGTTGATGCACACATCAGCATATAAATTAGTAAAGTTATCCAAAAAATGTTTAATAATTTTTCTTTTTTCGCTTTTTCATGTTTCTAATCACTAATTTGAGGCCTTGTTTTTATTAAAAGCATATTCCCATCGCCAGACCAGGAGTTAAGCCCATCTGTGGTCCCAGCTGCACACAATACAGGTGGTTCCTTGCCGGACCTGACTAACATCCAGTTCCCTCCCCCGCTGTCCACCCCACTTGACCCTGAGGACACCGTGTCCTTCCCCTCAGTCAGCTCAGGCAACAGCACGGCCAGCCTCACCACCAACCTCACCCATCTGGGCATCAGCGCTGCAAGTCATGGTAAAAGAATCATTTATGTACCAAAGGTTGAGGAAGACGACCAAAAAAAAAAAAAGAGAAAAATATATCCATTAAGAAAGCAATATCCTGCTGCTTGAGTTCTGTTTTCGAAAGAGCAACTTTGTTGATCCTCTGAATCAAGATGTGCAAAATGTTTTAACGGGAAAGTTTTATTTTCAAAAAGGAAATGGATCTTTTATGCCTGAAAGAACCAAAATACAATCCAGGTTATTCTAGAACAGTTTTTGGTGTCCCTATATTGGCATGTGGATCTCTTAGGAATGGAAATTGCTGTTGCCAATTTCCTTAAGTGGAAACGCTTTCTGCATTGATACAAGTCTAGAGTTTGCTGCTGGCTGCCTCTCATTGCTTTCTGCAGTCTCTTCGTCTCAGAGCTGATGAGTGTTTCCTACAGACAACAATAGTTACTCACTACATCTTGTAACTTGATCTGAGTCATGGTATGACTCTGCTGCTTACGGCCTAATTGCAAGCTCTTCTTTATAGTTTCTTTCCACCTCGTTTGTGTGTTTTCTATCCTCTCTGCTTTGTGGGGCAAAGGCCTCAGAGGTGGATACTGCTTGTTTTGGACACATTACACAAGTAAATAAATGTGTTTTTATATGATACACGGACTGCTTGTTATAAAAGTTGAGCTTCAAAGCAATCTACAGAAGTAGGTGTAAGGCAGTTATTCTGCTATTTTAAACAAATCTTGGTTTGTAGATAAAACCTCTGGTCATCTAGAGGCTGAATGGATTTGATCACCTGTTTATATAAATGAATAGTGGTTAGGCTGGGTATAAATGAGCATTCCTCTCTATACCACATTGTTTTAATCAGGAGGCTTGCATATTCTAATGAATTTGTGTGCTTTATTAAAGTGGTTGATGTTGTTGGTGGATGTTTTCCACCACGGTGATCGCTGTGACTGTATTTCCAGGGATCACTACAACCTCTCAGCCTTCCATGACTGTAACGGCGCAGCGCAGGCAGCCTCCGGTGGTGCCGCTCACCCTCACCTCAGAACTCCACCTACAACAGTCCCCCCAGCAGCTCTCGCCCACGCTCTCCTCACCCGTTAATATTACACAGGTAGGACTCTTTAGCATAAATCCAAAGTGTCTTTGGGCTTTACTGTGTTTCTGTTTTTCATCCCAGCGATGTTGCTTGAGGGAAAGCACTGTAATGCATGTGTTAACTTTTGTCTAGGTAATGCAAACAGAGACATTAACTCTGGAACAGCAGCTTTCCCAGTACTCCCTGTTCAACCAGCTGACGCCTCAGGCCCAACTTCAGCTTCTCAATGACCTCCAGAAGCAGCCGGTCCTATCGCAGGGCATCCAGCTCATCGCGTTGCCAACTCCGGCCTCGTCTGGGACGGCCACTGCAAGCAGCCCCTCCCCAGACAGCCAAACCACTGCCAGCATGAGTATCAGCTCGGTAAGAATTACAGAATTCAGTTCGGAAAAGGAAGAATTGCAAAAAATGGTTCCCAACATTTCAATACTAATGCCTTCGTTTTGCTAAGATTTAACTTGTCAGTTTTATTACTTGTATTTGAAGTCGTTTGAACACATGATAAACTTGCTGCTATGCCTTCCAGAAAAATCTCTAGGGGTTGATGATAAAGTTCCTTGTTCTTTTCTACATTCTGAGCCAAACGTCTTAGCAGTGAGAAATGTTGTTTTGTGGTCTCAGTTTTTTTTCTTTTAGATGTGTTATGGTTGACTGTGAAACAATCTTGGATATTTCAATTTAAAGATCTTTGGTTTTTTAAGGATCTGTACGTAGACATTTGATGTTTTTAATAATTTCTCAAATTAATTCTGACATCCTGTATACCAGATTTCCTACGAGATCCTGACTCATTCTGATGTTATTAGTGCTTATAGTAGAGATGCTCTGATCCAATCCGATACCTGGGCTGAGCGTATCGGCTGGTTTCTGATACCGATCCCATTCAACTGTTGAATGAATTAACCATATGTGTGTGAAGGTTTTAGCCTTGATATAAAATTGTAAAAAGTAGATAACAAATGAACACAGATTTAAAGGTACTTTATATTATTTATTAACAAATAAGCAGCAAAAAGAAAGAAATCACAGTTCCATGTAGAGTGCACTGAATTGGATCACCGATATCTGATACAGGTATCAGATCGGTGCATCTCTAGCTTGGAGTTGATAACAATTTACTGGCTTCTGCTTATCCACCTATTAAATAATTGACTACTGGTTTTACATTTCAAGAGGATCTTTTCAGGACCCTCCATAGAGTAGTTGTACATCATGCTAGATAAAATAACATGCAAGTTATTCCCAGATTTTTTGAAAAAGCCAATCTTATGCTACGTTCAGACCGCACGCAGCAGCAACAGCAAAAACGTGCGTGCTGTTTCTTTTTTGATGCTTGTACAAGTTTAGTTCTGATGCATGGCTGAAGCGTCTTTGTTGCTCTAGCTGCGCGGTCGAAAGGTGGGTCTGATGCACGTTTGGCGGAGCTACCCAATCCTTTCTTTGCCTGTAACAACGGCAGCTATATGTGCTGTTATAAGTGGTTCAAAAGTAGGGTCTAAATGTTTCTTCAGTGTCTTTAGCCGATGTTGTCTGTAGACGATCAGCTTCGATCAGCTACTCTGATTGGTTGATGTGGCGCGTCGTGCAGCATAAGAAAAATGTTCCAACTCTAGCAGCTGCTGCTTCTGAAGCGTTTCACGGGCGTCAGATGGTCAGAAGCTAGTGAGGCGCTGCTTCGGCTGCTCAGACGCACAGCTCCTGCTGCTCAAAATCGGTGCAGTACCTTTTGCTGCGCCTTAATGTGCTTCGACGGTTGACTTTACATGTAAACTAGATGCTTCTGCTGCATGCAGTCTGAGCGTAGCATTAGAGGCTATTTTTAGCCTATTCTTTATTTATTGCTGTGCTGTGAGTAAGCCCACTTCCTGGGATGATGACTGTTTAATCAGTGAAGACACCTTCTCTCAGTCTTCTGCTGTCCATCATTAAACCTACAGCAGTACTTCACTCTTTCTGTTTTCTTTAGATAAGCAGCATCTTTTTTACCCTTCTTACATACGGTTACAGCCTCAACGTGTCTTTCTACTTGCTACCACTTTTTAGCAAGCTCTGCATTGTTGGCAGCTGGATTTTCTAAAACGATTGATTAGATTGAAAAACAGACCCAGCATCAAGTGAAGCATCGGAAAAGCTTCCTTTACTGTCAAACCTCCTGTTTTGAAGTCCATGAAGAACTTTCGTGCCAAAGTTTTTGTTTCTTTTCTTCAGACCTAACTATATTACAGGAACAAAAGTATTTCAGTTGCACCTGTGTGGTTAAAAAATAATAATAAAAAAGGTGCCACTGCAATAATTCAGCAAATCTAAGTTATTTTCCCCTTTAACCAAACACTTGCAGTAATATAAATGCCACAGTGAACTCACAACTCAAGATTTGCAAAACAGGACATACAGTATGTCACTGTAGACTTTGGACCCTGACTGTATCTGCTCCGATTTCATTACCAAAGTTTGTGTGTGTTTGACATGAAGCTTAGTGCTAGCTAACCCTCTTCCCTCCAACAGTATCGCAATCAGTCTGGCTCACCAGCCACTCAGTCTCCAACCTCCCCAGTCTCCAATCAAGGCTTCTCCCCTGGAGGCTCGCCTCAAGTAAGGGCCCACCCTCTGAGCTAGCTGCTGTCTGGGGAACGGCTTTGCTGCAAGGGGAGAGCTTACTGTTCATAGCAGGCTGCTTTTCATTCTGTCTTCACACCACTCATGGTGTCGGCAGCTGCATTTCTCATTTCTTCATCGCCGCTGTCACAGTTCACTGTGTGCATGACATGTTGTTGTTTTTTTTTCTCTGCGTGCACCACACATAGAACTGGGATACTACCTGTCTACTTTTCTTTTGCTGTTCGCTGGTGCAATTGAGGTTCCTATATTTTTAGGAATAGTTGAACAATTTTTAATTGTGCATTGCTGAAATATGTTTTCATCTTTTTTATATAATATGACGAATTCCTGCATTTTTTATTTTACCTTACAGTTGTGAGATCAGTTGTAGATCAGTACAATGGGAAGTTACTTTGGCACAGGAGTGAAAAAATGTTCAGAACTTGCCTCAGAGAACCTTTTACAGTATAGTTCTTCTCTGTTACAACTAGCTGTCAGATGTTTATAAAGTAGTTTATATGCATCAGTTCAGATCCAAACTGCTCATATTCTGGGCAACGGTATATTATGTCCCTTTAGTACATTATTGGCTACCATAAAACAGCCTCAGGTGGTTTAATGAGGCCGGTACCTACTAAGAAGGCCATTTCAACACTGCTCATGATTTGCGCTAGAATGGTTTGTTGTTTTTTTAAGATTAGCAAGGGGACCTTCTAGCTCTCATACTTCTTGCTTTTTGCCTGTTTTAAAATGTGTGACCTCTCTGTTGTGGCTTTTACTGCCTTTCTGAGCTGTTTAGTGTTTCTGCCAGGCCCCTTTTTCTTTTTTCCCCTAAAATTGAGGGTTTGTTGGCTTGGTGGTTATTTCAGAGTTGTAGGGTTTTTCTGACAGAATTGCAATTCTTCACTAACGGGGCTGCTGCACCTAAAATTCATCCTTCCATTACCGTGTGTTAGCCCTGGTTCTGAGATTCACTTGCTAATATTCACTGCTCTATTAGAAAGCTGTCATGCGTGTTGTCTTGCTTGGTTTTCTTAGTCATTCACTTAAATCTGTGCTTTTTTAATCAACTTTAATAAATTGTTTGTGTTTATTGGAATCACCAAATGTCCTTGTTCTCCCTCAGCACATTCCCGTTGTAGGCAGTATATTTGGTGACTCCTTCTATGATCAGCAGTTGGCGTCTAGACAGACCAATGCTCTCTCTCACCAGGTAAGCTAAAACACCAACAGCTGCTTTGTCCTCGCCTTGTCTGACTCTGCTCTGCCTCACAAATATAAACTTTTCAGCTTGAGCAGTTCAACATGATCGAAAGTCCCATCAGCTCATCCAGCCTTTTCAGCCAATGCTCCACCCTCAACTACACGCAGGCAGCCATGATGGGCCTTACCGGGAGTAGCCTACAGGACTCGCAGCAGCTCAACTACAGTAGCCATGGCAACATCCCCAACATCATCCTAACAGGTAGCAGCAGTACCATTCATCCATTGTCTTTCATTCATCCAAATTTGGGTACCGGTTGTAATGGGTCCAGAATGAAAACCCAGGTCGGCTTGTTCTGGGGGTTCTGAAGATATATAAAGAGTTTAATTCAGCTGAAACCAGATATTTATAT